ATAGACTAAATATATTGACTTCATATTTGGAGCGTATTAATTAGCTGCTAGAAGTATAGTATCTTATCAACTCCGAAAGCAGAACAAAAATTTAATTACTTCTAAGTAATTTTTATTCAACTGCTTTTAATTGTATTGAGCAAATACTTAAAATTGAAACGATTAAATATTTTTAAAGCAATTAGGTATTGTTAATAATTTTTATTTATTCATCACTATTATAATAATTTTTACAACATTAAGTTACAATATAAATTAATTTTAATAGTTCAATCATTTCAGAATATTGTATAACAATACATTATTTAGCATGATAATTTGCTCTTCATTTGCTGACATGCATTTTTATACTATATATTTTATATATTATATTTTTTTTTATATATTTTTTTTATACTTGTATATTATTAATTTCTTAACCGAATGATATAATTAAAATCTAATGACCATAAATCGTATGTAAGTGCATTTTATATATATTCTTGAATACTTAAATAGCTAACCTACTATATATTTGTATTAACGTTGAGTTACCTAGTATAATATTATAATTCAATTATTGTATAATATTATACAATACTACGTCTGTAACTATTATGTCTTTATATAAAAATAATGTTTTAATTTTATTATAGTAAGTAAGTAACATTATTTAATATATTATTATTATTGTTATAATTTTATATTGTTACTTTTTATTTTGTTTTTTGTCCTCGAAAAAAAACTACCCTTGTAAAAATATCTGATCGGCTCTTTTGAACAACATCGATGACCGCGGTGACTAAATTCTCTTTAACCCTAACTAAATAAATGTTTGAATTGTACCGAAAGGTTTTACCCTAGCAATATGTTCAGCCCTATATGCACATCAATTTCTTTAACATAATGCAAGTCTATCATGAAGGTCCAAGGCCACTTTTTATCGTCACACATAGTTTCAAAATTTAATAGTCAAAATGTCAACATATACAAACACGTTTAATACCGTTAACGTAAGTATCTATACAATACATACATTTCAAATTTATGAAACTAAGACAATCAAGCTTGATACACATTTCACTCTAATAAATATATGTATGTACAATTTTTAATATGAAATAGATGATTGTAAATATAGGTATCATATTAACATTAAGTTTAAATTTTATTACATTTATTACTTTGATTAATTTTAAATTGTGTTAGTTTATTTTACTTACATAACATTATTTTTATGTTATTTCTGTGATGTGTAATTTATTTATCAAAATAATATTTTAATTATATACCTACAATAGGTGAATTTGTGTAATATTATAAGTCTTTAAAAGTTTTAATTATTATTTATTCTCATTTTCCGATTATTTATAAATATAAGTAAACCTTTAATAATATTTGATGATTTTTACAGAATACAATTTCTAAAAACATTTATTTAGTCACGTAGTAGTACTAATATTATTCTTTATATTTTAAATAAGAAACTAAAAGATTTAAAAACATTAAACAGTATAGTATATACATATTTAAATGGTGCATGATGAGTGATGACTATTAAATATTAGGTTGTCACTTGTTTTATATTCAAATTGCTTTTCAAATATTTTGTTGTATGACATACGAAAAATACAGGTTATTCACAGGTAATATTTTATTTATAATTATAGAATTAGTATATATTTTGCATCATAAATAAAGATACCAATCAATTTCATTGAACTTTTAAGTTACGTAATAATTGATTAATAATTATTTAATGGTTTTTTAATTATAATTTACATAATGGTTTTAAATAATTCTTTTAACTCAAGTTAAATAATTATTTTAATTATAGGGATAATTGTTTAAAATGCCTATAGCTTATGTTATATCTATTTACTAAATTTATTAAACTACATAAAATAATATAATTGACAGTAAAGTTATACAAATCAAATTATAGATATAGGTAATATTAGGGAATAATTATTATTATAAATGCTCTCTAGACAAAGTATCATAGATATAAAACAGTAATTTCTGTTAATATTTGTTATAAATAGAAAAAATGATAAATTTATCATTTTTTTTTTTTTTTTTTTTTTGAATAATATTGAATAATAAAATTATTAATGGATAACAATTGTCAATTGATTAATTTTAAAATATTAACCATTTATCAATAATCAATATTATAACATTTAGAACAAAAAATACCAAATTTTTAACAAATATAGTTGGTTGTATACAACCAAGCATATTTTAAATACCGTTTTGAGTAGGTATATTGTGATATGTGTACCTATTATTACCTATTCCAAGTTTCTAAAGTGCAAATTATTAATTTTTTTATAATTGTTAATTATTTTGTTGTTTTTATATATTTATTTTGTTTTAATATATAACAAATATAAATATACATTATATATATAAAAAAGTTTGGAGATCCAGATTTACTAAAGTGTTACATAAATAAGTTATTACGATATCTAAATTATTTTTTGCGGAATTATTGTTGTATAAACCATTGCTACCTATGTCGTTAAATCTACATTACTAGTTGCTAAGTGACAAATCACAAGGTCGTGATACCATATTATAATGTATTAAACTAGTTTAATTATTTGTTTACTACAATATTAGTTTAAAGTTAAACAACAAGATCAATTTAATATCGATGAAATCTTATTATATAGTTTTATTCGTAGTTATTGTGAATAGTTTTGCCTATGATGATAAATGGTCAGGTAAATAGTAGATAATTTCCATAGTAAAAAATAGGTAGGTATATTATAATATTAATTTAAAATACATTTTCATAAGATAAAGTAGAAGTTTCAAAACGTATTAAAAGAATTAAACAAAAGTTGGACAACTATAGACAATTGGCAATTTTGGCACGTAAAACATATATAGCACAAATGAATAACCATTATGACGAAACAAGTTAATATCTAAACTATATTTACGTTAATTTTAGTACCTATATCTATACAATCGAATTTTTATTTATATTTTCATAAAGATTTAGAAACTGGACTTTCGTTGCATAAAGAAGATAGATGTGAACAAACTGAGAAACCACCTAACATCTATTTTATTAGTTTTGTTGTTATATTACTTACTGTTATAACAATTTATATTCATATAAAGTGTCCACAATGTGTTAATGATGTATATTTATGATGAAATATATACTATTTTATACTATTTCTATTTCACATAACTATTTGGCTTCGAGATGATTTGTAAGTATATTTATATATAATATAAAATATTCAATTAATGGATCAAAAACTTCAAATAAAATCTAATGATCTATACATGATATTATTTTAATAACCTCTATAAAGAAGGATAAATATTTATAATGACATGATCACTGGCTAATCTAAATAAATATTAAAATATATATATAGGTAATAATTTATCATAATATACTTAAATCTATATAATGCATTATGTCAGTTTACATGTACAGTTTAGAAAACAACTATTTTCAAAAACCATTTAAATAATAAATACATTAAATTTAAACTATATTATAACAAAAATTTGTTCTAAACTGTATAATATATTGACATATTGTATAAAAAATTATCTATACATCCATATGTTATTTATTTTAAACATTTGTATTAAACTAAGAAGAACAAGCATTATTTTTTCGTTAATTTGTTAACAACAGAAATAGTACACTGCTGCACTATATTTTACTGTATATTTTATAATTGTTAGGATACTTTACGACTATAACTATATACAATAGGATATATTATAGGCATAACACACAAACACACACATAAATAGTATACATGTATATAAATATCATACAGAACGTAATGCAAGGATTTAATAATTTAACAATAAACCAGGTAGGTACACTTATAAATGTCAAACCCTCACTATAGACACCCGTATAATATGTACACGTATAAATCTATGTATATATTTACAACCCTTTATTAACCTAAGAATTATTATTTTATAACATTAACTATCAGCCGGGAGACAAAAGAAGACATAGTTTTTAACACGTATCGTGTAGGTATAATAGGTATACCTACAGAAAAATATCTACCTAGTACCTATACCTATATTGTGTAGGTATAAACGTAGTATTATCTCATTGTGAGTATTAATACATAAACTCGTATAAATAACAAAATAAAATATTTGTACAATAAGTACCTATATAATCATTTGGGCGCATTAAAGGTACATTTTATAATAATGACAAAAAAAAAATAAAATAAGTCAATACCTACATCTTTTAGTTTTATGTATTATAAATAAATATTTTGTTTAATATTTTTACTCTATATAGTCCCTTGAATTTAATATGAAAATTAAATTAGAAACTGATATTTTAAGAAATAAATTAGGTACCTAGATAAGTACGTATTACCTATATAAATACGACTATCGATAATGAGAACTTAAAAATTCAATAACCATGATCATATGTATAAATATTTAGGTATATTTATCCAATATTATATAATATATGTGTTAAATTATTTTATTTACGATATGATTTTTTTCAATCGACTGTTATAAACATTTAGGTACCTACTACCTACTAGGTATATTTTGTTTTCACCAAGCTCTGTTGTACTGATATATCGTATATTGCTTATGATAAATGATAATATTGTAATATCGTAATATTATTCGTATAATTATTATAATATAAACCATATAATATTCAGCGAAGTAGTCTAGGTACGTATAGATGGAATGTACGGGGCGCATATTTTTTCAAAATGTATTGCAGATGGCGCTCTCTAGGACAACAACACATGTTATGCGTAAGCATGTAAGTTGTCTGACAGACTAAAATCTCAAAGTAATAATACCTACGTATTGCATAGGCATAAATGAATTTAATAGAGTAATAGACGTATTGACACATCACACATGGTATTTCACAACACCATTTTTATTTTATGGATGCGTGTAAAAAAAAAATCAACCACAGGCGTAGGTATAGTAATAATAATATCATATTGGAAGTTAGTATAGATAAATAGACTTACCAAGTCGTGCGCAGCCGTTTCGCCAGTGGCTACACGAACCGGATTCTGCTTGATGCGGCCAATTTTGAACGAATAATATCGAACCTGGTCCGATAGAAGGCGGGAAAACTGTGTACAAAGCAAAAGTAAGTATAAAAACCAAAACGCACGCACAATTTAACAAAATGTCTACACGAAATTTCGTCGTAAATAATTAGCGATTTAAAAACGTCACGCGTATACCTGTGCTGTATAGGTATATAATATTATAATATATTTCGGGTGCACGAGCAATACAATACACGCGGGAGAATAAAACGTATGATTTTTTTTTTTCTTTTATTCAGAAACGGTTACAAAAATATAAAACAGTGTCTGTTCCGTATTACCTATGGCTGAATATCATTAATTGTATATTATAGCAAGTATAAAATATGAAAACGCACTCGACAATCGGTCTCGGAGAGTAGACGCGGTGTACACTGATTACGGAACGCAGCGGTGCGTCTGTGCACTGTGACGACTGTTGCGAGCGTATTGCGACCGGCCGGATCGGCATCGTCGGCGGCGGCGGCGAAAGGGGGCCAAACCCGACGGTGGCCAATGGCGTGGACACCGGTGCTACGACCACGCCTCCTCCTCCCCCTCCTCGTCGTCAAAAATCCGACGTAAACACAATATACGAAATCGAAATGCGGTAGTGGTGCATTTTATAATAAAATAATTGTCATCCCTATAAAGCGTCCTGTAGTTCCTGTATAATATCTATAATGTTTAACATAATAATATATAGGTACCTCTATTATATATTTATAATGTACCTAGGTACCAATACATAATATTAGGTATTAATATTATACTATAGTATAGTCATATATGACGTGTTGTATAGTATACACCTATTATCTCTATTTGTGTATATATTGCTTGCAATGTGGTACTACTGTTGGTAGGTATAGGCATATGGTGTACATATAGGTATACCGTTTTTACCAGCTATAATACATAAATTGGCAATAATAATAAAATAAAATAATATACGATTTACCATCGTGGTATAGGAAGATTAGGAAGAATAAAATATGAAAACTAGTATATATAGGTCTCTAGGTTAGGTTTAGTGTGTTTAGTATATGTATTATTATAGGTACCTGGTCATCGAGTATAATACACACCTAACAGCTGATCACTGTAAATCGTAACGGATGTGTTAAATTTGGATTTAATGATAAATCATTGAAGAACCTACTTATGCGAAAAACGATTTTGAACGAAGACTTCTAAAGATGATATTTTAAAATGATATATCCGCGCAGCTATTTCTTTTAGGTACCTTACTTATGCCTGCTATCGTTAACTTATTTTTTTTCGTTAATACCAATAATACTTATATTGGTTATATTACAGCAGTAGACTGAACTAATATTTTTGCCAAACACATTTCATCGATGAGTATAATAAAATAAATAATACTATTAATTATTATTATATTATATATTTTACTTAAGCCAGTTAAGCAATATGATAGGCGTATATATTATTGTTATCGGCTTATGAGTCATCAGACACCACCAAATGTGTTTTCTGGAACCTATATACTCGTATATTGTTACTGTGACAGTTTCAAACCTATATGAATTATGAGGTATTAATATTGATAAAGGGCTTATACATTTTTAAGTAGGTACTTACGAATACATTTTCAAAGCATTGTGATTTTGACCAATTTCTTGTGTAGAAATATGCATAAAATACAAAAAGAGACAAAATTTGAAAATTGTATAACGTATTGATAAAATGCTTATACAGTGAAACCTCGGTATCTTAAAGTCCAAAAGACCAAAAAAAAAAATTCAGAATATAGAAACCTCGAATTACCGATAAGGAATTTAAAACATAAATAAAATTTGGTATAAAAATGTTTAATTATTAAGGAAAATGTGTATTTATATATCTTATACATATTATTAGTATTTGTCATTTGGGTAAGTACTATTTATATATTATTTTCTATGGAAGTAGAATTCTGTCATTTATCTTATATTTTATAATCTGGGCATTTTATTCTTTATCTTATCTGTCATTTATTCGAGTTAGTGAATCGTAATAGGCGGTGGGTACCAAATAATGACTTCGACTTATAGAAAAATGTAGACCGAAATAACTTAACTCGTAAGTTCACGACTAAAAATCAACGGACTGAAAAAAAAATTCGACATACAGAAACTTTAAAATACCGAAGTTCGAAATAACAAGGTTCCACTGTAATATAAATGTTTAGTGAACATTTTAAGTTCCTACAGTACCTATAGGTATAGTCGTATAATGGTGAAAGGTTTACAATTTATAATTAACTTCTTCTCAGCCTGACATTTATTTTATAATACATAAAACAATTTAAATTAAGTTATTATTTCATACTTGAACGTCTGTCTTTTTCTGCAAAAATATTGAGTAGGTATACCTACATTTTATGATTCTAATGCATGTGATAAATTTCTTTCAGTATGAAGTTTATTTTAATTCATCAAATTTTAGTAGTTTTACTTGGTATTTACGTTTAGTATAAATTAAATCGGTTCTATTTCTTAGTTTTGCTAAAATTAATCATTTAATGCGATTTCAGAATGCTCAGGTTAAGATCATCGTGATTATTGACGAATTATTAATTTTAAATTTTCTATTAATTGAACTTAGATCATCCACATGCCACCGCAAAGTATTCGCTGTCTCTAGTTGGTGATAATATTTTTTTCTCGAGTATTTTCTCAGTATTAATTATAGGTACTGAACATTTTTTCAAGAAATAAGAAAAATGAAACAAAGAAAGTAAAATTAACTATAAATTTATAAAATAGGTTTTCGAGAAAAATAAAAGACAAATGTATATATAATTCGCAGTATCTAAAGGAGTAAACAACATATATAGACCAATTCCGAGAGAAATACTGAAATAAATAATAATAGAATGCAAATGTATATATTCTAATGCCCATATAATAATTATTGTACGTCATCGTCAAAATATTATCATAATTCATAGACCAATGCAACAATGTTATGCACGACCCGAAAACCACACAGGGTAAATCCAAAAATTATTAAGCTATAAAAATAAACATGTTGATATTATTATGATAGAAATAAATAATATATGTAAAATGTATGTATGTAGTAAATAATATTATACTCTGCTATTATTTGAATCCTCGATGAAATTCAAGGAAAATAATAAAAATAATTAAACTATAATCTTGAATAAAATGCTTTAAAATGAAAGTATAAACACCGCGACGGGGCTAGAAAAATTTCTGCAGAGCTGTAGCCTATATTATAGACTAATAGCATACTGCGCTCGTCGCCAATGTAGATTTATTACCTATTATGTATAATTTATGATAAAAGTATTTATATTGCTATTAAAGTAATTGATTTTAGTATTATAGCAATACGCCATACACTATATACAGTAATAGTAGGTATAGTAATAGTTGAATAATTAATTTTTGACAAAAATATTGAATTTGAAAATAATTTTTATGTATAAAATATAACAATATTCGTCAAAAGTCTCGAGTACTTATAAATAACATTTTTTATTTGCAATAAAAAAAAAAAAATCGCTACCAAATCAAAAAATCTAATTTTGACAAAATGTTACCTTAAAATGTCTATAAAAAAAAAGTTTATTTTTGTTACGATGTTTTGGTTATCCAAAAGAAAATTATCATTATTATTATTTATTAGGTAATGAAAAACATAATTTATAATAAATCCTTTTATATAAAAATTGAATATTTTATACATTTTTAACTAAAAAATTTTTTTTTAAATGTTCGTAATTTAGATAACGGTATCGAAATTTGAACTAAATGTTTATAGAAATCGGGCTAATAGGTACATTTTTTAAATTAAGCTTCATTAAATATGCAATAATATTTTGAAATATCTTAATTGTAATAAGAAAAACTTATGAGGAACTTTATGTATTACCTACATTTTTAAATTTTTTAACCTAACGAAGTTTTTTTTTAATTTAAATTTTCTATACATAATGACATTCAAAAAATACTCGTATTTATACTAAGCTATCTATAGGTATTTAAAATTTTTAAAAGAAGATCCCATATAAGTAAAAGTGTTCTTAATTCTTATAGAAATTTAAATTTTAAATTAGATAGGTATTATACAAAAAAGATGATTTTTTTGTTTTTGTTCAAAAATATTGTCTACGTAGACTTAAAATTTTTATGAACATATTATAGTATTTCACCTTATTAGATATGTAATGCCATTTAAAAAATAATCATAAGTCTATGACGGGAGTCGTAGTTTAGCTATCCCTGGTATATTGTATATATTCTATAAACCTATCGCTCCGTTTCATAGTAATTTATTGATATTTAATGAAAAATAAATAAAATAAAATAATAATAATATGTATGATATGTACCTATATATACGAATAAATATATTTAAAGATGTATCAAAGAAAATTATTTTTCTTCTAACACGTACGCATATAATATAAAACGCAATCCTACAAGTAGAATGTGTCTGAGAGTAAAAAAGCACAAGTGTTCGTATTATGTAATTAAAACCAGGTAATTTACACAAGAATAAGCTAGGTACCTTAAACAGATCAATATCGTTTTTTAAGCATGTAAAAGCTCTTCAAAAAATTTCTTAAAAGTCGTTTAAAACCATTTATAGAAAAATTAAGATACCTAGCTCATAACATATACCACCAGTTGGCAGTTTGGATTATGAAATAAACTTTAACCATCAACTAAGTTCATTGTCTTACAAATATTATATAGCAAAATGCAGTAAGAAAAAAAAAGTATTGCTATGGAATATTTTAGACGTCACCCTGCAAGCTTTTGATAAGGTTTGGCATACAGGACTCCTAAAATTCTCCTATCATACACCAGGCATGCACTCCTAGAATCATACCTGACTGAACGAAAGTTTGGAGTTATGCATGAAGAAGCGATAATAAATTTGAAAAATACATCATCTGGAGTACTACAAGTCCATAAAGTAAAGGATTAGAAATTAGAGCTTATTATTTATCTATATACTCGGTATAGCTAATACCCCAACTAATGGTGACTGCTAAATATTTTCCGACGACATATAACAATGTTAAGAACAAGTAGGTATTAATGATCAATGGACTACGATTGAAAACTATACAGACCTCATCCAACCACTACATTTCTTATTGGACGATATAGGAGTTGGAAAACCAAAATTTATTGAGATGAATTGGTGAACATAACCTATACTCTACGTAAACTTAAAATTTACAAATTTTTCTGAACTACACCCACACGAGAATATACTATGAACAAAAATCCAGTTAAATTCGGGTATGCACCTTGATTCTTGCCTAAATTGGAACAACCATATCCGCCAGAAAAAATTTCAAATAAAAAATAAATTGCGCAATAGGTATATATTCAATAGTTGGGAGACATTCCATACTAAACCTGGCAAACAAATGGCTTCTATA